CAAAAAGGTGTCTAAGTTTTGCAGTGGTTTCTTCCTCGCACTTTCCAATCCCAAGTGATCTAAAATGTTCCTCTGTTTGTCTGTTGTCCCCTTTTAAATAAGCGGATATTTGTCTGGCCACTGATTTAAAAAAGCAGTTACCATCCCTTACGACTTTATCCAATTCCAGGTTAAAACCAGATAGATTTCTATACAAATTTTCTGCATGTTGAGAGGTCAAATCCATACCCATTGTGTGGACCACAACAAGGCAATCATATCTACTGTATTTGTTTTACATTGTGTAGTAAAGGAGGTCTGTGCGGGTCCACAAATGATCCCAGACCGCAAATGATCCCCAAATTGGACCGCAAATGATTCCGATAGGGACCGCAAATGATCCCGACTAAAAAATAATGAATGGCATGGATGGTGGGCTGGTGTGGATAGGGAATTGGCGTACGTGAATACCGATGTTTTTATTAAAGCCATCTTATAATTATAATGGCTTACAACTTCTTTTTTTTCATACTTTCGACTAAATTTTGTTGCTAATTACAAGGTTATGAATATCACCACTCAATCATCAAAACACGACTTTGCTTGCATTTCTTTGCAATTCTCAGTAAAATTATGATCAGTGCAACATACGCTACATATCCTCCTTTATTAAACATTGTCATTTCGGTGTTATAGCTAAATCACATTTTATCAGCCATTAACACCACTCGTCTAAAGTTTTAAACTAAAATCTAACCATGAAGCAACTATTAAGGAAGACGCTGTCACCTGAGTAGACCCACAAGCCTACGACGCTTCATCACTCTGTAAAACACCTAGTGTGTAGCACTGGAAATTTGAACAAATTTATTTTGTAATTTCTCCTTGGTCGTATTTTGGCTTTAATTCCTCGGAAATGGCTACTTAAGTATTCTAAGAAGCCAAAATTCCAAGCTATAGTTATGAAGTTCAGCTGCATGACCAGGCAAGGCCAAGGCTTGTCCTTCGTCTTGACAAGTTAGCTGTTTGATAGATGTTTGATACTATCGCCACTGGGATTTCGAGAATGTGTACAAGTATGTGTTTTTCTAAGACTTCTAATTCAATAAATCGTCTTCACGTAACGTGTTTTTATCCTCATCAGGCATAAGAGGCGGTATATTTATATCTGTTTACAATTAGCGTGCTTCGTTTGGAAACGAGAGCATTTTAAATTTCAGGGTTATGGAGGTTGCATGACACAAGGCTTGTTGAAAAATATATACTTATCTCATGATTTGGAGCCTTTTTGGAAGTTAGAGCATTAGGAAAGGTGCTAATTTAAATGCTTGTTTGTTCAGTACTGATAATCAGTCGCCTAGAAAGCCAAAGTAAGTTCCAGATGTTTACACTGTACTCCGGCCGCCATATTGGTGTACCACGGATGTAGACCAACATGGCGTATTCTTACTGGGCTCTGTAAATTTCTGGGAAACATTTACGACGAATTTCTGAAGTTTGGTGAAACGCACAGGCCTAAGACTTGGAGAAGTGTCTTATTTAGTTATCTTCTATAGCGTACATCACAATTTCTTAGCTTTATCCATTGGTTGGTTTTCGATTTATTATTATTATTATTATTATTTTTTATCTGTCACAGTGAAAACGATCTGTACCGTTTGAAGAGCAAAACAGCAACTGTGGGATATTTTTTGTAAAATGATAAAACATGATTTTTAGTTCATAACTTTTGTGCATGTTCTCACCTTCCTCGGATATAAATCCATGCCATTCCTTATTTTTTGATTGGGATCATTTGCGGTCCAATGTGGGGATCATTTCCGGTCCGGGATCATTTGCGGTCCAATTTGGGGATCATTTGCGGTCCGGGATCATTTGCGGTCCTGGGATCATTTGCGGACCCGTACAGGTCAAAAAGTCTTGAAGGTGAAGGACTCGTATCATGTGTGCCAAAAGGTGATCAGTCTCTAGTTCGTCAACATTTTTTGCCGATTCTGAAGATGAGCAAGGCAATGAAATATCGCTTACTGATAACACAGGGTTTGACGTTTGCTTCATGTGTTGCTTTGAAGGAGACACATTGTCCTGATTGCAAGTACACACGCTCTCAACTGGAGGGACAGGTGTCACTCTTTTGCTCTGCAAATGACTTCCCTTTCTTTTACAGTTCCATGCATATAACACATATGTCATCACTGCTATTGCCAGTTCTGGACCGATTTTTGAAACACCACACAACAGAGATCTGTTTAAGTGACGGTGAAGTCTCTCGTTCTTCTCAGTTCCACATCCTACAGGAATGTCCGAGAGACACTCCTTACGTATATGTTTACGTAAGTGCTCTATCTCACGGGGAGAGTCCTGATTTAAGTTTTTCGTCCACACGAATAGTAATCTTTCAAGGTTAGCCTCTATTTCTATGGGACAAGCCGTGGACATTTTTCTTTCGTCGCCAAGGTCTCCGTCTTGGCGAAAAATCAGAGAAAGTTCATTTGAAAATTTTGTACAGAAACTGGTACCTTTAGGAATTGTTTGTACAATTCTCATGCACGTATGAAACAGATCCAAACGAATTTTGGCCCCTGGAAAGATTTGTTCGTACAAGTTTTTTACGTGACAGCAATCATCTACTAACACCATTTCCAAAGTAACACCTGTTTTGTCAAGCCTGCATTTCAGGTCTTTTAACAAGTCATAAATTTCTGAGAACGACGTGGATTTTGTAAATCTCCAGGCCATAACTTCGCCATTCTCATTTAGAGCGAGAAACACGTTTTCAAATTGCCTTACGAACTTGCCATCGTCTTCGCGAGTGACACCAACGTGTTTACTTGTTTTAAATGTGTGATCACAAGATAGCACCTTTCCAACTTGTTTACAAATGTTGTTTTCATGTAGCACCTTGGTCAGTTGAAACTGTGACAGAAATCATTTTATCAGCTTGTCATTACCTGGATACAAGCAAAATATGCTACTTTCAAAACCTTTTACCAAGTCATTATTGTCTGGATTGTTTCGTAGAAATTCTCTGAAGTTCGTTGATGCTATGCCTTCCGACACCTCCATAAAATTTTGGCCTTGGTAAATACCGGTGATAATGTAGTCATACAAGCGTATGGTAAAAGCACATCGCTGCTGCATTATGACTGGGAACATATTTGCAACATTGGATGGCAAAAGTCGCAAAACCTCATTGGATGCGGATAGATACCGATGACCATTTTTCTCATGTCCTGGTAATCGGTCGCTGCACTCATAGAAGGCTTGTACCAGCACAAGATTTCCATGTAAATCATAGACGAGCCGTGGATTTCTGGGATCTGCTCGAGCACCATTAAGCACATCTGTCCATCTTCCCACTCGTAAAGGGCAGTTGTGTACTGGGCAATTGATTGTTAAACCATTGTGCCTGATAGGACACCATATCAAAATCTTTGGAATAAGTTTGGTATCCTTATACTGAATTTCAATTGTGCGATTCGACCGTCCATCCTCCGGTGCGGTCTCAAATTCCTGCAAAACTTGCCTCAATGATAATTCTTCCTCGTTGCCAAGACAAATGCAATAGATGCATTGGAAACAAAGCGTGAAGAAAACCAAAAGAAAAACTGCTATGTTGCGAGCATCCATTTTACCACGTGGGTTTTCCTCTGTTTAATATCTGGCGCATGTTATCACATGTAGTCAGGCTGTCAACATGACATTGGGGTGTAAAGATTGTACATAAAAGTTCAAAATAGGGTAAGGAAATTTAATAAAAAAGATGTTCTCTATTGTGTTTTACTTGTGTCTCCGTAGCCTTTGGGACTTTCCAATGCAATCCCAGCGAGTTTTTGGTCAAAGGAATATATTTCTCTTGTGATTTCAAGGATTTCTGCTCGCTCATTTGCTCATGTCACTCGACAGTTCGCTCGGAAGCGTTTCTTATTTCTTTAAAATCTGTTTCATCTCGTATTAACCAGGCTTATCGAGAACGCACTGGGAGAATGTATCGATCCCTGTTTTTGGTAAGTTTTATTGGTTTTTGTGGGCGATATTTCGACTAGTCAACTCAGTAGTCTTCTACCTGGGCGGAGCTGAGTGAGATAGGACAAGTGGATTCGTCTAATCAAGTCGTATTTCTCGTCTATACAACTATCAGCGGCGACTGAAAACTAAATCCGAAATTGCGCGTATCCGATCACCATTTGTAAGAAACCCCCTCAATCCCCCTCTCTCAGCAGGGCCTCAAATTTTCAATGGCTACAATGAATCGTCCATTATACTTTGAATGGTCCTGTTGTTTCAATATTTTCCTTACCTTTTCATTGGTGCTGTCAAACACTTTTGGCACGAGTTACAACAAGAAGGAGATCATCTTTTCAGTTGTTACTGTTGGGCAGAAGCTGCTTTAAAATGTCTGAGAAAGAAGAAGTCTCGCGTCCGGATGAAGACATCCAAGAAACTCAGCCGAGTGGATCTAGTTCCGATAGTTCTGACCAGGAATCTAGGAAACAGATCGAGGACAAAAAAATTAAGGAGGTCAATGGGGAGATAGGCTACTATATCAAGAAAGGGACGCAGTTCATTCCTATGACCAACTTTTCTGTGACATGCATTGGGTATGTCACAGAAAATTCTCGTAATAATTGCTCCTTAGGATTCTTGTTCAACGTTGTTCCAAAGACAACCATTTTACAAGATGACGACAACGATCAACTGCCGAAAAGGTAAATGAAGACAAGATTACAGAAACATATAATTTAAGAATCTTTTTAAACGGGCGGCACGCGCCGATTAGCAATGGCAATACATGAATATTATTACAGATAGGTTTGTGAGACGCAATGATTCTTAAGCTATTTTGTTGGGTGTCCCTATGCATCCTTGAGAAATAGACATTTGGTTACTGATAATGTAGTCTCTCACGTGTACAAAAATTTCTGCGCCACGTGCTTACAAAGACGCTTATGGATTGCGAACAAACGTGTTGGTCGACTGTTTTGTCTTTTACACCAAAGCTCAAACAAGTTCAGTTTAAGTCTGTTTGGTTAAACACGGTTTAAAATTGTGTTCTTCAAAGAACTTATGAGTTATGAGTCAGAGTTAAAATTTCAAGTTTGAGTTAAAATATCGTGTTTGAGCTTGCTTGCGGTTAAGTCCACTCAGGTTTGCTTCTATTCTTTTTAACTTGACATTTTAACTCAAACTCAAAATTCTAACTTGAAAATGAAATTCTAACTCTAACTCGAACTTGAAATTCCAACTCAAACTCAAAATTTCTAACTCAAACTCATAAATTTGATAGACTCATCTTAGCGCTGCTGCATGTATTCTTTTCTCCTCTTGTAAGTAATTGCATTCAACAAAAGTAATGAACTTACCATGTATGTATGGAGTTACATCCTCATCAAAGTGAACAACTCTGAAAATTTTCGCCCAGTTTCTGGCCTGTTCTTGAAACACCCCTGGAGGTTTGTATGCCTCATCACTAGGTTCAGCTTCTAGTGCTGCATACAGATCACCAAATCCCTAAGATTGAAGTAAATATTTTAGTTATTTAATTTGTTCTTTTAAATGCATATTTTCTACAAATTTGTGTGACTTCCTCAGTGTCATTGTATTAAGTCTAGCGAAAGGATTGAATCGTATAGCTGCTGCTGAAAAAAGAAGTTAAGTTTTCACTTAAAAATGAAGTAACATGAAAATGGTGTAAGGAAATATGTTACCTTCCACAGTTTCTTGACATTCTTGCAATTCAGCACTCTCTGCTATCCATCAAAGATTGGCTTCAGGTCTAGGTGTTCTAGAATGTTGTGAAGATCGTTCCCTATAACAAAATAAATTTTAGGGCTGTGTTAGCTTTTGCAGCATATCATTGCTTAACAAATAATATTATTGTTTGTTCGCTTCTGAAGGTAATTTCATTCTCATATTTGCTAATAATTATAAATCAAGCTAATTTGCATTTATAACTAGAACAATTTTCATAGCATGAAATGTTGTGCTGTTTAATGCATCTTGTCATTAAATGATTTGCAAAGACTTCAACCATTTGGCTTATATAAATATATGCAATACTACTTTTCAATTACCATCCAGTCTTGTCCACTTGGTTGTAGGTGGCCCATCTTCATTTTGCACTTCATAAAACTTGAAAGGGACCCCAATCTTTTCAAGCTCAACTTCCAGTACCTCTTTCCTTTTGCTGCTTAGAACCAGTTCAATAAACTGTGATGAAATTAACAGAGACTATTTGTTAGACTTATATGGTAACCAGTTCTATTGCTTAGAATGTATTCCCTTGCTTCATTATTGCTTTTTGCAACACACAGTTCTTAAAGTCACTCTGGCTATTTATCCAGTTGTATAAATGATTCAAATGAGTTCCGTTGAAATGCTATGGGAACCTGAAAAAAGTGATTGGGGCTTTCCATAACAGACTAGCACCCTGTTCAGGAAATTCCAATATACCATGAAACTGGGATTATCTCTCAGCCTGGTAGCTTTGAGCCCAAACTGTATGCATCCAAGAATGAAAAGTCAATACCTGGTTGGAGAGTAGCCCAATTATCCTTAGGAAGAGGTGAAGAGTATCTATGACAATATGGTTGAATGGGATTGAAAGCAATGGTGGTTGAACACATCCCTTTTGCTCATCTGCTGTTTTTTTCTTGTACAGGGTTTTGCACTCAGCAAGGTTCCTTTGAATGGGCCAGTGTTGTACTATAAATAAGGTGAACATCACATCAACAACAGCCATGTTTATATTTTCAATATTCACTGAAGGCAAGGGAGGCTTGGTGGCCTGACGTTTAGTCATCTGAACTCAAGATGGTAAGTTTCAGATCCACGTGCCCGTCGGGGTCAGTAATTTGAGTAACCTGCGATGGACTAATATCCCATTGATGGCAGAGTAGCACCTCTCCTAGCCACTTGATGCTATTGAAAACCAGGAGCTAGGAGCCAGTTTGGCCTAATTACTTTTAGCTATTCAGTACAGCCCCCTAATCTAAATATCATAAACTTCAAGTGACATATCATTTTAGTCCACTTACCTGTGAAGTCGGCAATTTGTGCCTTGGTACAGTAGCACCATATGCAAAAATATTTAGCTGTTGCTGCATTCAGTCCATATACCGTGGCAAGAAATTTCCAATCAGAACAGCAGTACCTAGAACAGAATTTAAGTTAGCATATTCAACAAGATATATGAATATCAGGCTTATTACTAGTCTATTGTGAGTGTGTGATTGTCACTGAATCAACTTACCATGTCACTGTATAATGCACTCCATCAACTGTTACACCATGAGTCTGGAGCTCATTCACTTGTGACAGAGTGGCACCCAGGCAAGTCTGAACCTCATCATAGTCCTCTTTTCCTTAAAAATAAATGTTATGTCTTATGTTAAACGAGTACCAGGACTTATTGATTTTTTTCTGTTGTTTTGAATGCAGCAATCCCCATATATACATTTTTGTATAAGCTTTGGTTGTATACCGAGTGGTAGCAAATTGTTAAAATGACATGACATGTTAAATATTAGCGGAGCTCCGGCGGCCCAAAGGGCCGCCAAGCGGAGCCCCATACCCATATAGGGAAGGAAAGGAAACCCATGAATTGATTTTCTCATGGTTATCATGGTTAGCGGTATTGCTCGTGGGCGCGTACGCGCGACGGCGACGACGACGGAGTCGCGCAAGATGGCGGCCATACTCCAGCTAATAGGTTGACAGAGACATACACCCTCGGTTTGTAGCGGGAGAATGCCATTTTTCTTCGCGG